AAAAAAAAAAAAAAAGAAGAAGGAATGTGATTCAATAGGCAACTTGGGCTCAGCGCCTGTGGCTCAAGTGGCTAAGGCGCCAGCCATATACACCTAAGGTGGCGGGTTCGAATCCAGCCTGGGCCAGTTACAACCAAAAAATAGCCGGGCATTGTGGCAGGCACCTGTGGTCCCAACTACTTGGGAAGCTGAGGCAAGAGACTCGCTTGAGCCCAAGAGTTGGAGCTTGCTGTGAGCTGTGATGCCACGGCACTCTACCCAGGGGGACAGCTTGAGGCTCTGTCTCAAAAAAAAAAAAAAGGCAACTTGGTAACACATTTGAGGACAGAGACAGCACATACTTACCTGAGGCGCTACATAGTAAGGAGTGAACTGGGGTGTCATCAAGTCACCTTGATCGACTTTGGCAAATCCAAAGTCACACAACTTCACTGGAGCATCCTGAAATAAAACAAATGGGAGGCACTGCTCCAGAATTCTCTGTAAACATTAAAAGAAAATCTAGGTGCAAGGTGCTATCATGAGCTTTCATGAGTTTCTGCCTGAACACAAGCCTATGAATAAAATGTCCCCAGGTCTGAAAATGATGACTCATCCTGAGGCATACTGAGGTTCTCAGTAAGGGATTTCTCCCTATTCACATAGCTAGCCCTCAAGTGGCCCTGAACTCAAGGTCTTGGCCTGGTACTCCTTCACTCTATGGGCCCATCACCTCTCATCAATCCAACATACTATTTTACTCTTAACCTCATAAGTTTTATGAGAACCAGAGCTACTTATCTGGTAAGACAAGGAGCAGGGGACAGGGATAAAGGGGAAAACAGATTTTATCAGTGTTAACAGCAAATGAAACTATCAAATTTCAAGAGTATCAGCATAGGCCTGGTGCGGTGGCTCACGCCTATAATCCCAGCACTGTGGGAGGCTGAGGGGGGGCAGATTGCCTGAGCTCGTGAATTCAAGACCAGCCTGCGCTAGAGTGAGACCCCTGTCTCTAAAATAACTGTGCCTTGTGGCAGGCGCCTATAGTCCCAACTACTTCGGAGGCTAAGGGAGGAGAATTGCTTAAGCCCAGGAATTGAAGGTTGATGTGTGGTATGATGCCACGGCACTCTACCAGGGATAATAAAGTAAGACTCTGCTTCAAAAACAAACAAAAAAATAACAAAAATAACAGCAATATAGACTCCTGCTCCTTTCCAAAAGACCTCCAAACTATATGCAAAATCATAAGACCCACAAGTACATTTTAGTATCATCCAAAATTATCAATACTAAGAGGACAGTGTAAGTTCTCTGAGCCTCTAAGAGTAGAACAAGTGGAAGAAATAAGCTGTATGAAGCACTGTGACCTAAAAGTTCTTTAACATGAATTCAGAGCACTTCAAATACACTCACTTCTAAACTATGCTAAGAGTGGCAGCACTAAATGCAGAAAAGCAAGTCTTCTCACCAAAGAGTTATCCTTGAAAAGCAGATTTTCAGGCTTGAGGTCTCTGTGTGCGATGTTTAACAAGTGACAGTGCTGCAGAGCCAAAGCTATCTGGAAAAAGATACAGTGAAGCAACCACCTCTTAGAAAAAGCCCATTCTTTCATGATAATGAAACAAGGCTTCAGTAAGTCAAATAAGACGGGTTTCAATTTTAACATAGAAATTAAGTATACTTGGGGTATCAAGAAATAGAAATTAATTAACTGCAACCTGTTATTCTGTTAAAACAAAAAGAAAAACGTGACAGTACACCAGTTCTTTATAAGGAGAAACTAATGGAAAAATCCTGTAATGAATGGAAAAAATGAAATGTTCCCACTTTGATTCATCTCAGGTGTGGCAGTCACTGCAGAGGAAATTCTAAGCTGAGCAGCCTACAGTAGGCCTGGGTTGCCCACACCAAGACAGCAGGCAGGATCACCTGCCTCAGAAGAGAACTGTATTTTCCAGGGAACTGAACATCAAGATCTGTTTTCAAGAAATCAGCTGAATGGATTTTTCCAACTGATATTCCAATTCGTTCAGCCTTCTTGTTTAAAGTGTTGCCTGTTTGTATGGATCGGAAGGATTTGTTTTGTAGATTACCTGAGTTCATCCCTTAGTCCTAATATTTGAAAAACAGAAGGTACAATTTAAAAAATTAAACAGAGCAGATTCTGCCTGTTCTTCAACTCTCAGTATGGAATTTTCTCAGCAATCCAAACTATCAGTTCCTCCAAACAGAAAGGGGGCATCCCAAATGCTTGAGGCTCATACAAAATTTGGAAGAACTTTTTATTTAAAAATTTTGGTTGTGGCTCAGTGAGTAGGGCGCCGGCCCCATATACAGAGGGTGGTGGGTTCAAACCCAGCCCCAGCCAAATTGCAACAAAAAAATAGCCGGGCATTGTGGCAGGCGCCTGTAGTCTCAGCTACTCAGGAGGCTGAGGCAAAGGAATCGCCTAAGCCCAGGGGTTGGAGGTTGCTGTGAGCTGTGTGACGCCATGGCACTCTACCGAGGGTGATAAAGACTCTGTCTCTACAAAAAAAAAAAAAAAATGGTTATGTTTCCTGCTTTTCTTTGCCTGGTATGAACAAAAGCTTTGAGGGTTTGGCTTTTCATCTCCACAAGATATGATTACCAGTTGGACTCCCAGTATTGTTTATGAGAGAAATCATTTCAATAGCAATGAAATGTGATTCAAAATATAGAGAATATATCTCAAAATTACAAAATCTTAGAAATTAAATCTACAAATTTGAAGAAATGAGAGAAAAGTAACTCATACCCAAGAAGCATCTTATCACAATCATCTCAAAATATATTTTTAAAGCATACAATCTTTCAGGTGGTATCAGGAGCATTTTATCTCAACATCCAATAACAGTGCTTAGAAGTTATTTGCCTAAAGATTCAGTCTACAAAGGAGTTAAGATCACTTTCTTTCCAGAATTTACTTAAATCTGGCAATAACCTCAGGAAATAGTTGACAATTGATAGAGAACACAGTTTCCCCCCTCCCCCAAGTATATAAGGGGTCACATTTCTCCTGTCAAAACATCTTTTCTGATTATATAACAAAGCAGGCAATGAGAAGTCAAAGAGAGGTTTTCTTTAAGCTTTCTTTTATTCCCCCCAATGAAATTGCTTGTTAACCAACACTGTTGGCAGTTTGATTGGTACCCGGGGTTAACTTGCCTGCTTTGTTACTTGGCTGGCTTGCTTCTCTGTAAAGTGCCGGTGCTGGCTGATTCTGTGAAATAGCTCTCCCCCTTCCATCATCTCCATTACAATTAAGAGTCGGGCCCTGTTTGAAAGCATTTGATTTTGTTAAGTTAAAAAAAAAAACCCAAAACCAAAAAAAAAAAAAAAAAAAAAAAAAACCAAACCAAAAAGCCTAAAACATCAAGAAGGTGACTTAAAGATAACTCATCTACAAAGTGTGTAACTACTTCCTAAGTCCAGAGTAACACAGCTACTAAATAAGAGAAAAAATTCTCATGTTCTCAAAAAGAAAAAAAGAAAAAAGAAAAAAGAAAAAGAAAAAAAATCTGTGATTTTTGGTTACTATTCTCTGATATAAAGGCTTCCAGTTTCCATCCAAATGCTTTCACCAACAGAGCATAGTTGTGAAAAATAATCATTTGATTGCCCATTTTTCTTTTTAATTCTGTCTTCTTTCTCCACCTGGAAAGTTCCTACCCTTCCTTCAAGTCTTAGTCTCCAGATAGCCTCTGTGAGACACCTCATCTCCCAGACTGCAGTTAGCAGCTAGCTCCTTTCCTTTGTAAATGCAGTGTTTTTATGGATGCCTATCCCATTGCCATGAATATGGATTTACATCTCAGTTTCACCCAAACAAACCAATTTTGAATTCCCTTGACGAGACTTAGAACACCACCCAATGTGCTTACCGAACATTTATTAGCTAAAATAAAAATGTTGATTTCATCCTTTAAAATGGAAGTCAAACTAAGCATTAAGGGCATTTTGTTTTATAGTTTCAAGACTTTGCCTAGGATAACATGTGGGTCCCTTTCACTGATTTGAAATAGAATCTCTTTAATTTTCACATTAAATGCTTTGTAAAATGAGAAAGTAATAAAACTAACCAAAGAAGCCTGGAGAGTGGGTAGGGGCTGCTGAGGTTTGGTGATGAGTACTTAGGGATTTATTACATAATTCTGTTAAGTTTTACAGATGTTTGGAATTCTTCAAAACATAAAAAGAGGGGGATGGAAGGGACAGTTGGAGGGGGAACAAGGGAAGAAAAGGAAGATGGAAGATGGAGGGAGAGCGAGCACATAAAAGAGAAGAAGAATATGCCTTGGCCTATATATGGGCATGTGATGATGATCCCGTGCAATCTTACCTGGGGCTGGACTCATGAGGAAATTGTACACTGTTAGCAAACACTTCAATAATCTGAACTATATTTGGGTGTGTGGCACACATCATGTGCAGACGTACCTTAAAGAAAACAGAGGAAATGTTTTTTATGTAAGAGATACCAACATTCTCTTTCCAAACTTCACCTCAAAAACTGATCACGCCAGGTCAAGAGGATAAGCCTATAACAATAAAAACCTTATCATGTGGGCTCAGCGCCTATGGCTCAAGGCTCGGCGCCTGTGGCTCAAGTGGCTAAGGAGCCAGCCACGTACACCCAAGTTGGCAGGTTCAAATCCAGCCTGGGCTCGCCAAACAACAATGACAGTTACAACCAAAAAATAGCCGAGCGTTGTGGTGGGCGCCTGTGGTCCCAGCTACTTGGGAGGCTGAGGCAGGAGACTCGCTTGAGCCCAAGAGTTGGAGGTTGCTGTGAGCTGTGATGCTACGGCACTCTATCCAGGGGGACAGCGTAAGGCTCCTGTCTCAAAAAAAAAAACAAACCTTATCATGTGGAATGATGTAAAACAAAAACAAACATGCCTGTAATTCTAGCACTCTGGGAGGCCAAGGTGGGTAGGATGGCCTGAGCTCAGGAGTTCAAGACAAACATGAACAAGAGTGACAGCCCATCTCTAAAAAATAGCCGGGCGTTGTGGCAGGCACCTGTAGTCCCACCTACTTGAGAGGCTGAGGCAAAAGCATCACTTCAGCCCAACACTGCTGTGAGCTATGATGGCATAGTACTCTATGGAAAATAACAAAGTAAGACTGTCTAAAAAAAAAAAAAAAACCAAAAACCCTAGTGTTTTCATACACAGATTATCCTGTCTTATCTATTAGAAAATGAAAAATTTGGCAAATAACTTATTTCAGAAATTATTCATATCTCTTTAAGCAAAAGAATAAATCCTTCATTGTACATGTTATTAGCATGTCACTACCACATCCAGATAATTTTTTTTACTTTTTTTGTAGAGATAGAGTCTCACTCTATTGCCCTAGGTAGAGTGCCATGGCATCACAGCTAACAGCAACCTTCAACTCCTGGGCTTAGGCAATTCTCTTGCCTCACCCTCCCAAGTAGCTGGGACTACAGGTACCTGCCACAATGCCCAGCTATTGATACTTTTAAACATATGTGTATATATATATATTTTTTGGTAGAGATAGAGTCTCCCTTTGTTGCCCTCAGTAGAGTGCTGTAGCATCATAGCTCACAGCAATCTCCAGTTCTTGGGCTTAGGCAATTCTCTTGCCTCAGCTTCCCGAGTAGCTGGGACTACAGGTACCCGCCAGAACGCCTAGCTATTTTTTTGTTACAATTTGGCCAGGGCCAGGTTTGAACCCGCCACCCTCGGTACATGGGGCTGGCACCCCACCCACTGAGCCACATGCATCGCCCACAAATGTATATTTTTAGAAACTAGAAACACATCCTCAGTCCTCCTGCAGAGTTACTTTCTACACACCTGACTTTTTACCTGACTCTTCCTCCTTCTATTATATCTCTATCCTTCAAGTACCTTTTCCAATAAGCAAAAACTTAAGAAAATCTGAATACGTTAGGGTACAAGAATTATATTAACAATTAATAAAAAGAACAAGAGAAGGCTTGTTCTTTTTGGCTGAATGGAAATAAGACATACTAATGGTCTCCAGTACTATAAGGAAGAGAGATGAGGACAGACATAAAATTCCATATGCATCTCTGTATCTCTGGGAAACTGCCTTAATTAAAAAAAGAACAATGGATACAATGGAATTCAAACACCATCATGGTGTTTTGCTCACTTATACAATGCAGAAAAAAGTTAAAAAAAAAAAAAAAGAACAATCCTTAGACACTTCAAATATTTAAGTAAGTCAAGGCAATCAAGGACCATACCTCATTTCTAGCTTTTGGACGATCAAGAAGAATCTTCAGTGCAAATCGTTCTTGGGTAGATTTCTTCACACAAACTCTAGAATCAGAGAAAAAGGTCAACCAGAAAGCATCTACGTTACAGTGAAAACTTAAGAAGTCTGTTCTTTGAGATTTATACTTCTAATCAAAGATATGTCTAGGTGCTTTCTTTCCTTTTTTTTTTTTTTGAGAACAAGTCTCACTTTATCACCCTTGGTAGAGTGCCATGGCATCATAGCTCATAGTAACCTCAAACTCTTGGACTCAAGCGATTCCCTTTGCCTCAGTCTTCTGAGTACCTTGGACTACAGGTGCCTGCCACAACGCCCAACTATTTTATGCCCAGGTGCTTTAGAATAAACTTGCCAGGAAGTAGAGAGGCAAAATAGCATCTCACTACCTTATCAGCTGCCAGTGCCAAGGCCTCAACTCCTAAGTCACGTGACACTAACCTCCCTATTGGGAGCTAGTGAAGAAATGAGGTTCTATGCTGACTACGGGTGACTCTCACAGTAGCCCCACAGATTTGACATCTTAAATGACTCCTTATTACAGATCATGCAACTTGATCACTTAACCACATTTCTTTTTTTGAGACAGAGTCTCACTATTTCGGGCTTGATACAGTGTCATGGCATCACAGCTCACAGCAACCTCTAACTCTTGGGCTTAAGCGATTCTCCTGCCTCAGCCTCCCAAGTAGCTGGGACTACAGGTGCCCGCCACAACGCCCACCTATTTTTTTGTTCTAGTTCTCCTTGTTGTTTAGCTGGCCCGGGCTGTATTCAAACCCTCCAGCCTGGGTATACGTGGCCAGTGCATTAGCCAATGAGCTACAGGCACTCCCCTTAACTACCTTTCTAAATGCCTAAAAGCCTAATATAAAAGCTCTACTTGTTAAATCAAGGCTATTTGTCAAATCTGGATGCTTCTAATTCAAGATGCATTTAAAATGGCCCTTCTAAGAGCAATTTTGCCATAGTTCTCACCCAGGTCTCTTACCTAACTGGACCACTAATTCCAGCTCCCAGCTTCTGAGTCCAATTGATATTGTATTCTTCTAAAATGGAAGTTTCCTATTAAAATAAAAATGGAGAGGGCAGAAAATGATTTCCCAGTTAAAAAGGCAGAGGTGGGACAACAAAAGACCTATCACTCAACGCCTCATCTTGTAAGAGAATGGGATAAGTGGAGCATTGTGTATTATAGGGTTTAATAATTAGGCATTCTGTCTAAATGACTCAGACATCATTTTCCAAAAAGAAAGCAAAGATTGCAGGATCAAAAGATTACTTAGCTCATCTATGAGGTACATTTCAGCAGACAATCATTTTGCAGGGGAGTGTTTGGGGAGGAATATCCTTGGAAAATTCTTTTTTTAGAAACAGAGTCTCACCATGTTGCCCTTGGTAGAGTGTTATAGCATCACAGCTCACAGCAACCTCAAACTCTTGGGTTTAAGCAATTCTCTTGCCTCAGCCTTCCAAGTAGCTGGGACTACAAGCGCCCACCACAAAGCCCTGGTATTTTTTTGTTGTAGTTGTCATTGTTGTTTTTAGCAGGACTGGGCTGGATTCGAACCCACCAGCCCTGGTGTATGTATGTGGCCAACACCCTAACCACTTAGCTATGGGACCTGAACTCTTAGGGTGTTTTTTTTTTTTTTGAG